AAAGGTTTTTTAGACATCTGAAAGGATTTTAAACAAACATCATAATCAAGTATTCATTGTTTTTTTTTTAAATGACATCATCATTAACCACCTCTGATTGGTTCCTCAAAATAAGTTAGGAGAATCCCATCCCATTTTTCCCCCCAACCGTCTCCTGGTTATATTGGGATACAAACAATGAGGTAAAATACCCCACATAGAAGCAGTAAACCCAAACAGGTAAATTATAAGATTAAATAAACTAACCAAAGTCGGATTTCCGCATTTTTAATTGCAGTCTCTCATTTCCGACTTAAATTTAATTAGCTTCAACAGCTCATCAGTTCCAACTAATTCTTCCACTTAAATCACTTTCATGTCATGAATATGGATAATCCCCCTTCAGTTTGCTACGCGTTCAGCAAATCAGCAATTCAACACGTCATTAATTAAACATGAGAGAGTGCGGTTGGATAATGTGCATGTCATTAACTCCGCTTCCTCTTTTGTTCCAGCGCGGATTTACACCACGTCGGTGACGACCGGAGACATGCAGGGTAAGCCAGCGTGAAATGGCACACGGCAGAAACATTTTGTTTTGTTCTCTAAACGCCTCCCACTGTAGCAGTAGTGTGGAAGCGTGGTGCACTCTGGGAGTCAAACCTCATAAAAAGGCAGTTCTGGACGTCTCCATGTTTAATGAAGGCAAGAGAGATTTAGAAGATGAAAATTATCATGTCATCTTGAACTTCAAGTTGGTTAGATTTTCTCTGGGACTTTGTTAGGAAGTCATGAATCATTAATAAATCACCAGCAGCAGATAACACTGACCGTCTTTTGCCAATTATTCGGTCTGCAAGAGAGAACAATACTTTCAGTAGATAAAAGGAACGTTGAACAAAATGGCATAAGAAGCTCAGTTCTGTCCCTCTGTGCTTTTAGCACGTCTAATGATCATGCTGAACTTGGAAATGTGTGCAGCCTTCAGGAAATTAAGTGAGGGAAGGAGCTGCATTGTGTCGAACATACATTTACATATTGTTGATTTTGTAATGCTAAGAGATGCATGAAGCTGAACTACAATGTATTGTCTTTGTTTTATGATAAAAGACATGAAAACTGACCAAGATATCTGGAAATTTCAGTCTGCAAATGTGTAGAAATTTTAAGTGAAAAACGTATTAAAATCCTGTCTTGTTTAGCGTCGTTTCCCATTTTAGAAAAAAAATTAACTGAAAAAAATTGAATTTTGATCAGTGCCAGAAAAATTGTATACTGAACCAAGGAATTGAATAGAGAAACAAAGGTTAAAGAAAGTGAGAAGGTGCTCAACAATGCCATCTTCTAAGATTATATTTTCCAAGAATAAATCTTTATCTATTGTTCAAAAACATATAACCAGAAAGGGTATTTTAAAAAAATATGAAGCTAAAAATAATTAAAAACTAAATTTCAATGCTGGTTTGGAATGGTGTTCCTGCAAAACATCTTAAAATGCAAGCGTATAGCTCCTTATCAGACAGCCAGCAACCACGTTTTGATTTCTAAAGCCAGTTGATAGCTACAAATCGGTTTAAATTAAAGGTAATCCTGGTTTCTAAATCACCTTCTTGTTTCTCGCAGTTCTGGTGCGGTTTGTGGCGATGACTCTGCTCAACTTCTGGGTGCTGCTCACTGTGATCTATTACCAACGAAGAAGAAGCAGCAGCTCCAAGAAAGATGACTAATCTAGTGGTTTCTTCTTCAACGCTTACTGGGTCACCACAGGCACAAGAAATACGGAAACAATCTAAGGGTAACCGTTACTACTGTTAAAAAGAAAGTACACCCCGTTTCATTTCTAGTTTTTACTTAAGAGGATTTCATAAATGTTCTGAAATTTTTTTTAAGGTACTAAAGTAGTTTAAACGTAATCTTGAATGTAAAAAAAAAAAAACAAAAACAAAAAACAGATGCGACTGTTGGTGTCTTTAATCCTCACAGCTTACTGTAAAAAATGTGTTTGACTAAAGTTTACCTGCAGGAGGTCGCTGAGTTACTTTGAATTGATCAGAGAAACAAACAGTATCAGAAATACAATGTGCTTAAACAGGCAAGCTTTAAAAACCCCCCAAGAAAACTTAGACATAAAATGCTAATTAATTGTAGGTTTGATTTGTCAGTAACTCATGAAAGTATATCTGAGCTCACTTTTGAATAATTTTACAACCTAATCAATTACAGATCTTTATTATTATTATTTATATAAAGAATTGAAAGAGGGTGTATTTTTTTTTAAATAATTATGTTTTACCAAACATTCCAATAACAATGCTTTGTCCCAGTATTTTTTAGTACATTTCTCCTGAATCTACTTTTATTTTTTTTAAATTCCATTTTTAAACATTAGTGAGGATTTTTCTGTCAAAGATGATGACAGTTTGCAAATATCCAAAATCTTCCAACTCGGGATGATAAATACTGTGTTTTTAATAACTTTTGTACTTTGTGAAGTTTTTTCTGTAACGCCTAAATAAACCAAAACATTTGACAAACATTTTTATATTGTGATTTCACTGAAATTCTTTAAAGCGTTTATTTTTTTTTTTTTTTGACATTTAAAAAACATGTGAAACCAAAGGGCACATCCATGTCTTTATTTCTATAAGAAGTTAATATAATCATCATCATTCTAGCTGTTTGGTAGCAAACATGCAATCTGGATGTAAAGGCCCTTAAATACAAAGTGGACAAGGCTGTATAAATAATATAATGTGCACAGTATGGCATGTAAAATATATACTGTAGATATTTATATGTATAAAACATGCTTCGTGGTTAAAGGAGAGCTGTTGGAACACAAAACACAAAATTCCACAAAACACACACAGTTTGCTCTCCAGGCGCCTGTACGAGCCACATTCACACGACGACGTGTCCAAACTTGGGAGTTCGGTCACTCTTGACACCAAAACATCGGAACAAACCTTCAGTGGACTAAGTGCTGCTCAGGACGAGGTTTTGCATACCTTCATCGTCACCGCTGCTTTCAAAAAACAACCTGGAAGGGGTGACGGCGCGTGAGAAACATGCAAGTTCACTCCAAAGCAGCTGGCGGTAAAATAAAAAGCTTCAGTCAAGTATATTTGGTAATACGATGCCTGGGTGCCGCCTCTGGTGGAGCACCACCTCTACCTTCAAACGCAAACAAAAGGAGGAAAATATGATCGGTGCATTTAGGTAAACATTATCCCTCGGGTCGGACAGTGCAGGTTTGTTCCTTTTAATGCCTTCAGAGCAGGATGCTGCTCACGTTGTAACGTCTACTGCAGACAAAACGAGTGTTTCAGTGACAGAAATCATAATAAGTCTGAGGCGACCAGAGAATCATTTACTGCAAAATAAGGATTCACTGCGTTCCCCTACTCTGTGACTTTACGTGAACTAACAGCTTGTTGTACCTTAATCGGATCCTGTGACTCACCTGAAACCAGAGCTGTGGAAAGCTAAAAGCTACAATCATTGTGTTGAGAGAACAAGTCATTTGGGAGGGAAAAAAAACAAAAAACTACTGAATCAACCAAGTGTCGTGTTCCCCTTAAAACTCTTCGAACTGTTCACAGTTTCTTTTAGCAGAATGTCTCATTTTTGGCCACTAGAACCTCCAAAGGTGATGTGCAGGAGTTTCCTGCATGTCCCCTCCATTAGACTGTTTCCTGGTGAGAATCATTGAGGTAATTGAATCCCCATCCATCCATGCAGCCTCTCCAAAGAGCTCTTCTGCTTCCTCTGGAAACAGAAGGAGCTACTCCAGAAGCACGACAGACTTTGTTCACAAGCCAACCAGCTCGCAGAAAAGAGCGCAGTCAAGCTCGGTAGCTGTGAAGTGGCTGAAAGGAGCTGAGCGACAAGGAGAGTGGAGAGATTTTCCTCCCAGGATGAAGCAGGAGGCGAATTGACATGGAGTTCCAGATCTGCAGATGGAGCTTCGAAGGAAACACCGCCCCAGAGACCCATCCAGCAGGGTTAACTGGAGGCAAAGAGACAGATGGACAAAAAGTTAAGTGCTGCAAAAACATACGCTAATTTCAACAATAAGGATTTAAGAAGAAGAACTGAAGGCACAAGTTTGAATTTATTGCTTTTTATGCACAACTCTGAACATTTGATAACTCTTTTAGCAGAATTGATTAAAGCTAGTTGGTTTTCTTTCAGAGTCTGAAGATTGCCAAAATGTATTGTTCGCCTGCCTCTTCCAAGCTAAATCTGGTTCTGATGTTTATTTGAGAACATTCTGAAGACAAAAATCCACAATATATTGAAATCTGTGCTCCCAAGTCTTGCTTTAAAAATCTTTACAGTTGTATGAAGGTAAATCGTTTCAAATAGGAACCAAATGGTTCAAATACATCGTTAAAAGTCCAAAGTGAATACAGCATCCAGACCTTCAAGGCATATTTAAGCGTCTGTTGTGTTGCGTTAATGATGCAAGTATTTATTTTAAGGAACAAACTCTCCCAGAGATTCTACATACAGCTCGGGAAAAATTAAGAGACCACTTAAAATTATCAGTTTCCCTGATTTTACTTTTTATAGGCATATGATAGAGTAGAATGAATATTGTTTTTATATTCTATGAACTACTGACAACACGACATCTCCGAATTTCCAAGCAAAAATTTTGTATTTATTTGCAGAAAATGAGAGTGCTTTCAGACCTCAAATAATGCAAAGAAAACAAGTTTATATTCATTTAGAAACAATAATACTAATGTTTTAACTCGGGAGGAATTCAGAAATCAATATTTGGTAGAATAACCATGAGGTTTTCAATGGGGTTCAGTGCAGTGCTCTCTTAATTTTTTCCAGAGCTGTATATTAGAAGACAGAAAGTCATAAACAATCCAGTGACAAGACACCCAGTGACATTGATCCTATCAGGTAAATAATTTCCCAAACACCACAGAGGAAATTGAACCATGTGTATTCACCCCCTGCATGTGGCCCGACAGCACCGCTGAGTGACAACAAGACAGACACGTACACAAACGCATCCAGGAACTCGGTCGTTTACACGGAGAACAAGATCAGAGGAGGACTCAGCTGTACCAAGTGCTGCAGGAGTCGACTTGCTTCGTTTTTAACCCATTTGATCTGCGGCTCATGTCATAGGAGCTGAAACATGTTTTTGATCAACAACAAATGTTAGCCCATCAAATTTAGCAAGAAATAACAGAGTACAAATCAGACCAAAAGAGTCCAGAGAAAATAAACTAGGGAGACAGAAATTTAACAAAATACAAGAAGCTAGGGTAGCTAGCTATTTCACAAAAAAACCTACAAGAAAACAGATAGCTAGGTGTATAAAACCTGAAATAGAAAACACAGCAATTACATTAAATACATGGTCCTTCAGACTGAGGACTGACAAGAGATCTAAAGAATAAAAAAAAAAAAAAAAAAAGCACAGCTTCTGCAAGAAAATCCTCCAGACTCATTTACAGCCGTGAATGTTGGTATCCAGTGTCCAGATTGAAAAAAAAAAAAAAACTTTCAATCTGGACACTTTTGTTTGTGGCCAAATTGAAGTAAAATTAATGTAAATAGTTGACTAAATAATCTGGGGTAATTAAATACACTAATCAGTGTTCAGTGGTTCTATAAAAGATCAAACCAAATTCAGTCTATAAGTTAGATTTTTCACTCTGACAGCATAGCGTAACATCTTGAATGTGGACAATTCAAATGTGCCCAATTCTAATATTCACTTAAATTTATCCTTTTTCTGTGGAGAAACTTTTAATAAGTCACTCAAAATCTTGCCGTTTTCATAGGGCATGAATACATGTTCTCCTAGCCACTTTTAAAATGGGAAAAACAAGAGAACATACCATTCAAGGAAAGTAGGTGAATGTTATTCTGCATGAATCAGGAAATGATGATAATAAAATAGCATATTAATGAACTCAGAGTAATAATTTAATTTAGAAGAACTGAGACAAACAAGGCTGCACGGTGACCTAGTTCCATCATCCTACGCAGAGTGCGGACGAGTGACATGAAAAAACAAATCTCACTGCAAAAGAACCGAGTGGAGCACTGGAATCATCTGATCTGAGATACAGCTTTTGGAAAACGCTTTCCTGGTGGGTCTGCTGTGAAAGCAAAGAATGAATATATAGAAAAGTCCCCCATGCTTATTGCTAAGCCAGGTGGAGGATCAGTGATGCTGTGTGTCTGGTTCTCTTCCTATGGCTCTGGGCAGAGTACATAACATCATCACAACCTCTTTGAAATATCTGGAGAAGTTGAAAATGCAGTTTAACTCTGACAGTAAATTGAAAGTAGGGACGTGTCCAAATGCAGGGGCTGCACCGTCTGACGGTCGCCTACAATAATGCAACTAAGGCTGACAAAGGCAGCTTTTAGATGCATTTCTGTTCCAACACACCTGATTTAAATGACTAGTTCGTTACCAGAGCTCTACTAAACTTTCTGGCGCTGAAGAGTTGATCAAACCATTTGATCCAGGTGTGTTGGACAAGAATACATGGAAAAGTTGTAGCCCAGTAGCTCTGGAAGACTGGAGTTGGATATCCCTGCAATATCTTTAAATGCAGCCACTGCACTGCAAACACAGCAAAACACACCCACACACACACACAGAGAAACACAGTGTTACCATCATCAGAAATGTATGGAGAAACAATCCTCATCAATATCATCCAACGCCCAGAGCCAGTCCTGAAGACTGAACTCCTCCAGTCTGAAAGGGGGACATCAGTTTCTATCATTACCTTTAATATGATGACGTGTAAGAATGCTGTCATGCAGTGGGCGATCCCAGCCGTGCATCGAACAAACATGAACACAGAATCTTCAAGGTTATGTTTTTCACTAAGTTAATGGAAGCAATTAAAAAAAACAAAAAAAAACTACTATATTTCATCCTTGGACACTTTCTTGAACTAAAAGAAGAAACCTTTGATTTCATACCTGCTTTTGCTGGTGGGGAGCGGTCGGCTCGGCCTCCTCATGGACTGGCTGGACTGGACCCTCATGGAGGTGCGTGGCGAGGAGCGACCAAATTGCTCCGGCGGCAGAGGCTTCTTGGGAATCTTCTTCACCAACCGGCTCACCCACTTCTGCTGCTCCTCTTGGGACGTGGCCAGCAGCAGCAGGTTCTTGGCCGTAGACACGTCGTAGTTCACTGGCGGTGGAAAAAGAAACTCGTTTTCATTCACCTGAACCCAAACGGGGGACGGACGGACGATTTGTTCAGTAAAACTATGCAGAAAAGCTTAACACCTTTGCAGGGAGCGATGATCTCCTCCTTCTTGTCCATGTGGTCCTTGTGGCACTTGATGTGGCAGCGCCGGCACTCCAGAGCCGGCGGCGGCTTGAACATGTTCCACAGCGGCTTGGTGCACGCCTCGCAGTTGGTGGGGAAGTGGTAGAGCGTGGGGATGAACTCGTGGCCTTTGTGGCAGATGTAGCTGGACTTCTCGCCGATGGGAAGCGGCTCCACGGGAAACTCCGGCTCCTTTTTGCTCTCGCCTTCGTTGGCATACAGGATCTAGTGGGGACCACAGATGCTGGTTGGCCATTTCCATCCTTTGAAACCACTCAGAAGTTCAAATGGACACATAGTAAAGCAGAGGGAGAACACACCTGGAATATCCTGGGAATCTCCTTGGCTTCAGCGCGGTACACATCCGTCTGAGTGACGGGCCTCACGTGGAAAAGTTTGCTGCAAAGTGGAAATAAACGTTAATTTCTATCTGAAATTAACCTTTATTAACGTTAATAAACGGTTATTTATTAACGTTAATAAATAAACGTAGCCGGGGCTATCGTCAAAAGCCCCGGCGTTAAACTCACTCAATATCGAGAACCATGCAGGGGATGGACTGCTCTCTGTCGTGTTCACTGTTGTAGAAGAGAATCTTCTTACTGCTCACGACAACGTACTGCAACAACAAAATGAACATAAATAACAGCTAAAATCAGGCAGATGCTCTATGGCAGAGCAAATATGGTTCATTCAGACCTTTTTCTCCCATCCAAACTTCTTGGTGTTGTTTCTGACGGGAAGAGAGAGCCAGCCCTCAAGTCTCGACTCTGAGAAAAACAATAACAAATGTTATATATTCAGTTCAGAAACAACACTGGAAAAGGATCCCTTTGGTTCCACGTAACCATGAACTGTCAAATTCAAAACTGGTCAAATAATGTACAGAGCAAGAAAACATCAGTTACCAGAAAATATAAAAAAAGCATTTCCTGAAAGAAAGTGGGGTTAGAAGTTAAGACGAAAACTGAATTTTAGAAAACGTAAAGCTTGTACAACAATGAGGAGCACGTGCATCACTGTCTGAAGCCTGATGAATCCAACCACTGATTCAACATCAGGTCATAGAGGGCTGAGGTGTTGCCAGACCAGAATAACCTTGATGGGCTTTGGGTCTCCGTTTTAGTGGCAGACAAACTCTAAAATAAGGCATCTTGACCAGAAGAACCAGATATAGAAGAAGCTTATTTCAGCCGCTAGAATCCAGGTTGTTTTCTATCCCACAACCATCAGTGAGAATCAGGAATATGAATAGAGCACTAAATTGAAGCTTTTTACCTCGACTCTTCAAAATTCAAATCCCATCCGAGTCCCCCAAAAAGCAGTTTTCTAATCTCATTTGATAAATATGCAACAAAGCACATAAAAATGCCTTCTTTTGTGGTTTTATTTTTAATAAAGCTCTGCAGCTCTGTCCACAAAGGCTGCATCCTTACCTGCGTAAGCGTCATCAGCGTCAACGTCTGGCCCGCTGCTGACGCTGGCAGAGTCCATGGACTGAACGCTAAGCGACTGCAGCAGATTCCTCAACTGCTCGATGTCGCTGTCTTTGCTGTCCAGAGCCATCTGCAGCTCAATGCGCATCTGACTCTCTTCTGCCAGTTGCTGCACACAAGAAAACATGTGTGAAGCCGAAAGGCTGCAGCAGGAGCAATGAGGGGGAAAGCGGCACTTACTGCTTGCGTCTCGTTGATCTCCTTCTGGTATTTGATCATGGTGCTGTTGAGCTTTTCCTTCTCTGACCTCAGCTCCAGCTGCAGCTTCCTGTTCTCCTTCTCCTTTCGCCGCATGTCTGTGTCGTTTCCACGCCGGCTGCCTCCCCCGCGGACTTCCTTCCTGTTCATGATCTCCGCCAGTTTATTGACGGCCTGCAGGGGCGGGAGGGGTTACACGAGGTCAGCTCCTCACAGAGGCAGGGGGAGCCGAGGGGACGACCGCGAGGAGCAGCAAACACCGACCTGAGTTTTCAGAGTGCGCTCTGACTGCAGCTGCTTCTCAAACGACTGCTTCATCTGGTTGATCTGCTGCTCCCAATCCTTGGACTTGTCCGACTCTGAAGGATCAAGAAGAAAAAAGTGAGCAGCGATGCGTGCCATACTTGTTCTGATGTTATAAAGTTCTGCGTTTATCGACCTTCAAGTGCTTCCTTCAGTTTGTTGTTCAGTTCCTCCTTTTCGTTGGCCAGATTGGCAACGTCGCTGGTCAGAGTCCTGTTGGCCTCCTCCAGCTGCACACAGGAGGAAACACACTCAGAGCCGTTCTGTAGGTTTAAAACCGGGAGGCGGATGTTTCTGGGACCCACCGAGCCGATGGTGATGTCCTTCTCAGCCAGCTCCTGGCGGTGCCGAGCCATCATCTCCTTCAGCTCCAGCTCCTTCATTATCTTCTCCTTCTCCAGATCAGAGTACTGCTCCTCAGCGATGGAGCGGGCCAGCTGCTCCGAGTCCGCCTTCGTCAGAGTGATCTCCAGCTGTGCCGCCAACGAGTCCCTGGAAGAGATTGAGAAAATTAAACTCAAATCTGCACACTTGAGGGTGAATGGAGGAGTTTTATTTTGGATCTCCAATCAGCAGAATCACCTCTCCTCCTGCAGCTCCTGCAGAGACTGCTGCACCTCCTTGTAGAGTTTAGTTTTCTCCTCACATTCCTCCTTTAGTTCCCGAACCTGAGTCTTGTAAAGAGTCTGGAAAAGAGGCATGCCCAAAACGCAGAATTATGAAAACATGACCAGTAAATGAAGATGCACCAAAAACACTGTCTGGTGACACGAGGTGATCACAGGAAGCACAGAGGTTTAAGTTACTTAGAAAAAAATGTATTCGCTATGACACATCCTGTCAAGACTGCAAGAAAGGGAGGAAGAGAGAGAGTCAGAGAGCTAAACCTGACTGGATAACAAGAAGGCAAAACAGACTACAACATTCTTTTGACCAGCTAAAGGTCAAAAGTTTTCACATTCAGAAGCTCACTGAGGATTTCTGAAAAAGAAGGAAAGATAAATTGACCAACAAATGGATACAACTTTTATCCATTTTAAACAATAAGTTTAGGAACAAAGTCTGTAGAACAAAAACATCTTTCTTGAATCAAATTCCAGACTGCATAGTAACTCTCTAGTGCACCATAACGTTTGACTCAATTTTGCTCTTCGAAGAATCCTCTCTTAATTTAACAGAGAGGGTTTTATGCAATAAAAACAGATAAACACGCATCATTTGGCCACAAACTCACAGAAAAATACTGCTCAGCCTCCAGCTGGTCCTGTAATTCCTTCATTTGTCCATCTGTGTCCTGTCTTTCTCTGCAGGTGGAAAATCAAACCAAATTACTGACACTGAAGATTGTGACGGCTCGGAGTAAAAAGTAGAGCCGATGAACTGACTTGCGCAGCTCCTGGTTCTGTTTCTCCAGGCTGCGTTTTATATCCAGCAGGTGGTTGGTTTCCTGCTTCAGCTGCTTCTCCGAGGTTCTCAGGACGTTCAGCTGCTGGTTCTGGGCCTTCAGGTCGTTCACAGTCAAGTTACGCTTCTGGGTCTCCTGCTCGATCTTAAGCGTCAAGTTCTTCACCTGAACGAAACACGGGCTGCTCTTACGGACAGTACTTTTAAAACCATGACATTTTACCCCCGACAGGTTCAAACTGGGGTTGTTTTCCGATCCAGACGCTCACCTCCTCTGTGAGTCGGTCCTTGTGTCTGCGCAGCTCGTCCAGTTTCTGTAAAGCCTGTTTGTAATCGCAGTCCATCATGCTGCTGTGTTTCTCCAGCTCCAGGATTCGGTTCTCCAGCCGCAGCTTGGCCGCTCGCTCCTCCGCCAGCTTCTGCTCCAGTTCTGCAGAGAAACGTCCAGGAGTGCTTTTCAGTTTTCCGGAAATTAATCTTTGGCTGCAAAAATAATTCAAACTAATAAAGTAGAGCTAATATGGTACAGTGGAGAGGACGATTTAATTACAATGCCAGAACACAAAATCTTACAAAGTATTTTTGATCTAGTTTCTGGGGCAAATGTCTTAGTACACTTGAAATAAGACAAAACTAACTTCCCAGTAAATTTTCAGCACAATATATGAACTTGTTATAAATTAATAATTCCTTAATATTGATGAAATAGTAATGGATATACATGAAATAATATGCAGGTGAAACACAACATTTAGCCTAGTTCTAGTTCCATTGGCCGATTATTTCACTGTACAAAGAAACTACACCAAAACTACTTAGTAAGGTTTCATGTTTTTGCAGTGTAATCTATTTTTATTTATTTATTTATTTTTATTAAATATTGAAAGAAATTCGTCTGCAAATTTCAAACTGTATTTTTTTATTCTGCCCTGAATCCCAGTTATGGATTCTTGCCCAGAATTTCATTTTTGCTTACGTTGTATTAGATTTCCATCTTTACTTGCACTTAATTTCATCCAACTTTCTCTTTTGTTGGACCGTGTTGCAAATAAAGATCAAGTATCTCGGAATCATAAATCTGCCTTTTCTGAAACAGCTTGGTTTGATCTGATTTGAGCGTCCAGGAAAAAGCCTCAAGCGTTGCTTTAAGATCCGACTGACCGTGTAAAGCAGACCTTACCCTTCATGGACTCGGACTTGGCGCCCTCGATGGTCACTTTAATCTTGCTCTTGTCTGCCAGCAGACCTCTGGTGGCTTTATGCGAGGCCTCCTCCTGCTCCAGCTCTTGCTGCAGAACCTTTAGTTTGTAGGTCAGCTCTATCTCTTTGTTGCTCATCTCCTGCACAAAGAAAAACAGGCAGAAGGCGTTCTGATTTGAAAGGAGACACAAACCACAAAACGGCAACAGGAAAATATATCCGTCTGACAGAAAAGCGAGCAGAAAGACGCGGCGACTCCAACAAAACAGATTTACAGAGGGAAACGCAAAAGCAAAAACTTTCTAAGACTTTGTAATGCTCATATTTAAAGTAGTGGAGAGATGAATTTTGTATACCTTCTCCTGGTCAGTGTATTTCTCCTGAAGCTGCCTCTTCTCAGTCTCAGCTTTGGCCAGAGCCTGTCTCTGCTGGCGAGCTTCTTCCTCCAGCCCAGAAATACGTCCTGCAACGTGCAAAATAAACTGTCAGAGGGCACTATTTCACCGAAAAACCATCTGAAAATTATAGAAAAGGCACCCAAAGTCCTTCACAAAACCTGAAGTACGGCATCCAGATAAATACTAAGTGTTGCTGCACTGCCAAATTCATGGGGGAACAATAAGTATGGAAGTCTACCAGCAGCCTTTCAGGAAGTGCTGCGTTTGTGTTTCCCCTACCCATCAGGTCAGTGATGGTCTCTGAGCCTTGGCTGTGCTCCCGCCTCTCTGACTCCAGCGCCGCCTGCAGGCTGATGCACTCCTTCTCCAGGCTCAGCTTGCTGCGCTCCAGCAGGCAGCATTTATCCTGCAGCTCGCGCACGTTGGCCTCCAGCTGCTGCAGCTGCTTGCTGCTCTCCGTCTGAGCTTTGCGGAGCCTCGTCGCCGCTTCTGTCTCGGCCCGCAGCAGCGTGTTGGCTTCTTCCAGCTGCGAAATCATCCGTTACGAGGTTTTAACGAGTGAAAAGAGAACGGGCAAATAAACCGAAAGACGTCAGCGTCAGCTTTTACCAAATGTTTAAAATCTGGTGAAAAAAAAGTATTCATTTAATTTACCGTCACCCTAATTTATATAATATGTAGCTTAGGGATGTTTTGAGAGCGCACAAAACTTTCAGCAGAAAATAATTGAGTAAAGTCGCTCTTTTTAAAATGTCAACTCCTTAGTCATTTTTTTCTTAGGTTGTGAGAACAGAGCCAGCAGGAATTAAAGACTTTTCCTTATCATAAACAAAAAATAAACATTAAAACCTAATATAATCGTGGTCAAGAGCCACAAATAATGGATGAAGCATGTATATTGTTATATAATAACTTTGTAAACAAACATTTTGAACTATAAGTCAACACATTTTCATGTTTCAATTTCGTTTTTTTAAAGGGATTAATATAATTCCTTCATATTTTACAACCAGAAGCGGCACTTTAAAAATGTTCACGTCAATTATTTTTATAAATGTCTCCTGAAGGTTCCCTGATCTTCTGAGGACTTTGGTGTTGTCCGCACGGAACTATTTTTATCTCTAATTATTTCCACATCTGCTGAGTTTGTAAAACGGCGACTGCACCCAACAAATAGATGTGGATCGTTCCCATCTGCTCGATTTAATGGACATGTTTGAATCTGCTTTCATTTAACTGAATATGTGTGGTGAATGTGGTGCAAAAGTAAGCTGCAGAAAGCATATGCAAATTATGCCAAAAAAATACCCCACTGGATAATTACATTGCTTTGTGAATTTGCATGTTTTAAAATGCTACTTTATTAACTGTGGACGAGTTGGAGAATTATTTGAAAACAACGTAGATGCTCTGTTGGATCTCATTAGCAGCAGGTTGTTTTTGGCTGGAGAGAAAATAACTTTGACCTACAGGTGCTCCAGAATGAAATGGTCAGAAGATGAAGAATGGACCCAATGTGGAATGAATGCAGCTGAGAAAGCATGTAGTTTACAGCTTTGGTTTTAAAGGTTGTATCAATGTGGAAGTGCATTCATGTCTTCCTGCTATTTTATTACACTTGAGGCGAGTCTGGATGCTCACAAAGCATTCTCAGTGATCTTGTAGCAGATTTCTTCAAACGACAGTTTTAAGCTTTAAACAGATGTTTCTGCAAGGAAAATTGTTGCATCGATCAAGTATATATCTAAATATGTGTAGCAAAAATTATAGTAAGTCTGCAAAGATGCTTGCCAGCTTCACCATGCTAAAAGAAGATTACAAAAGTAAATTAATAAAGTTGGGGGGAAAAAAACCTGTTTCTGCAGGTGAAGGTTCTTCTCGTTGGAAATATGCGAGTTTTGATTTCTTTTCTTCATGTCGTCCAGCTGGTCTCGAAGGCTGTTGACTGCACAAAAACAAAAGTGAAGCAGGGATAAGTTAAGCTGCAGTCATCAGTGCAAAAACTGTAAATATGCAAACCAGAAAAAGACACAAAACAAAAGGGGTCTTCGTGTTTTAGCGTTTAGGAAACACTTTTATAATTTGACCAGGTGGGGGCAGCGTTGCATATCTCATCTTCTGATTCATTTACATCTATCAATGGTAACGATCGCTTTGTTTTTCACTCAGCAGCAACAAGGAGCAGATTAAGGAGTGAAAACAGGAATGATTAGTATGCAAGTGATTTCATAACACTGCTGTCAGAACCCGGATCTGCAAAGAGAGTCTTGTACCTTCGTTCTCCAGGCAGCGCTTCCTGTCGGCCTCGTTCTCGGCCTTCCGGTGGCTCTCCAGACTTTTGTGCTGCAGCAGGGCCTTCTCTCGCTCCAGCTGCCTCAGATTTGATTCCAGGCTCTTTCTGCTGCTCACCTAAAAGTCAATCAGAAAAGGAAAGAAAGCTGGGATCTCTTCGATTCTGATCTAAAACATCATATAAATCCTTTGATTCCAGACACGCACCTCTTCCTCAAGTTCTTTGGTTATTTTTTCTAAGCGGACGGTTGCAGCTCTGCAGAGAAATACATGGATAAAACATGAGTCAAGGTTTCAGCAGTTTGCACACCACAGTGGCGACATATTTGCATTTGCTGATCTTGCACCTGCATTTGTTCTCTAGTTCATCTTTGACATGTTTATCTTTATTCATCTGAAGCTCCAGATGGTGAAGTTTCTTCTGAAGCGCAGCTGACTGAAAACAGAAAACATCAACAAGCGATTAGAGGAAGATCGTTTTAGAGCTTCATTTGAGCAACGCCTGGAGCCAATGTCTGTCTGGAGATGTGAACAGCAGAGAACATTTTGGAGTTTGCAAGGATGACATGCCCGCAAATACCAAACTCACCAATAACACACCTGTACACACTAAGGTTTCCCAGTTGTTGTTTTTTTTGTTTTTTTTTAAACCTGCAAACAACCTAAAAATGGTAAACTGCGACTTCCTCATCTGAAATTTAGAGCAACGTGTTGGCAAGAAAGGTACATCCTTTAATAAACTTTTTTTCTTGTCATCTTTCATCTAGAGATGTGCTACTGCACTGCGCAACTGTTGGATACCCCAAGGCTCCATCTTGGATCGAGTCCTTTTCTTGTTTCCGTTGGTGCCTATTTACAAAAAGCACAACAGCCTATTTTGCCATTTTGCTTATCATCTACAGAAATATCTGTATATTCTAGAAGAAATATTTAGATTCTTGTTAAACTGTCTTACAGATAGACCAACATGACAAGAGACAACTTCCTGAATCGCAACAAAAACAAAACAAGCGCTTAGGTGATTTAGGCTGTTGACAGTGACATTGGTCCAATAACTTAGAAAATACTTTATTTTAATCTACACTGATCAGGACTAAAACTAACTAAATAATCTCTATAATGATGTTCCTAATCCAAAAACACAAGAACATCAACTATATTTACAGCTAACAATGAGCAATAAATAAAAGTCGAAGAGGTCAGACAAAACAACTTCTAAAACTCACAACTGGAGAAATGGAGGGAAGAGGTGGGCCTTTGAGTCACCAAATCTCCATGGCAACCATTAGATACTATTTACATGCAAACTGATTGTTTGGGTGAAAAGCCAGGAACAAGCATTGTCTGCCTTACCATCACAAATCTAAAAAAGAGGAAGTAAGCTAAATGATGCAACGGCTTTGACTGGAACTGTGCTTTGATCAGATGAAGCTTTTGAGTTTGACCTTTCCTGCAAAAAAATTTAATAAAATCCACGTGTGTTTGGCATAGAGGTGGTTAACTTTATGAAGGGAAAAAAAACAGTTGATAAAGTGGATTTTTCTTCTCATGTTCGTCATTTACCTCTTGTAAAAGGCTGCATTAATGAAAGGTCAAAGCAGTCCTATTACCTGCAGAGGTACACCAATAAAACCTTCTAATAAACTGCTCATTGTAGTCATGGCTTCCTTCAAATGCCCATGTAACATTTTTACAACACCAAATGGAAATGCACTCAAACATTCGAGATAAAGGCTGCACTTTGATCCCCAGAGGACTGTCCGCTGTTTAGAGCTGCATATGTGGGATTAGAAAGCTAATCAGTAAAACCAGTCATGACTGAAATCTGTGCAGTTACTAGAGAACTCTGGGTACTGACAGGACCTCAGAAATATGAGGGAGGATAAAAGCAATGAGGTTTTTTTTTTTTTTAATCCACTATTATGGATATAAAGTTTGATATGACATCCTTGACCAGTCCAGGAAAATGTATTTTAACCACAAAAAGAAAAAGTTTATTCTTTACAGTGTCTGCATTCCAGGAAATACAGGAAAACACTTTAACCCAAAGCGTCAGAGTTAAAGGGTTAAGATTTGTCTTTCTGACTCTAGTGATCTAATTTTGAGAATATTCTATTTTAACCAAGTTACACCTGTTTAATATAGTCATAATAATAAGAAAATATACTATAATTTTTGGCTTGCATTTGAATTATGTGGATCTCACAGCATCTCAAACAATAAACTAATAAATTATAAAGTATTAAATACTTATTTATGTATCAAAAATTAAAAACACCTTCTGTTCTTTTCAAGATTCTTCCATTTGTCTTGAAAAGTAAATGCAGTTTTGTTTAGTTCATCTTAAGACTTTTAGAAAACGCACATGATTTAAAATCCTTTACCACTGTTAACATCACTGTGCATTTATCAGTATTTACCTCTCCTTTGGCGTTATCGTGTGCCACTGAGGAATTGTTGGCAGAATTTAACAACCTAAAAGGGAAAAAAGAACCAAAAATCACATGTGGTTAAAGTAGGAGGCCAGTTTCTAAAACAATTAGAGACAATCAGAGAGAACGAGGAGGATTTACTGGTCCTCTTTGAAGTAGGTGAAGCCAACAAACGGTAGCTGATTTCCGACAAAAGCCTTAGGTGTGGGGAATGTTTCGACATCGCCTTTGTCGTCTTCGATCTCGTCAAAATTACTGGTGTCTATGTCGCTGCTCAGCTCCGGGACCACCGGGGCGACAGCTGGTCAGAAAAAAGGGGGTGGGGGAAAAATTAAAACTTCTGGAAACGAAAGTGAGAGGAGAGCAAAGCTTGAAACTCGTACTGTCCCTGATGGTGTCAAACGTCCACAGGTCGTTCTTGAAGAACGGGTGCCGTTTGATTTCCTCCACTCCGTTTCTGCCCAACCGTACGTCTCTAAAAAAAAAACAAAAACAAAACAAAAACATTGGTATTAGTGATGAACTTGGAATAAATTTTACATAAAAGACAAAAATTGATTGTTCCCCACCTGTCAGTCAGGAAGGCACAGATTATACTCTTGGCATCTTTGGAGATGTCCACATCGTCGGGAAAGTTTAGGGAGTTCTTGTGGTCCATGATCTTACTGTACGTTCCCACCAAAGAGTCGGCATAGAATGGAGTGTCGCCTGAAAGGCAGCAGGCGGTGATGAAACACAAACACTTTCACGTCCTTTCAAGATATGAATGAGACGATGAAAGGGGCCACTCACCCACAAGCATCTCGAAAATGAAGACGCCTACGGACCACCAGTCGCATTCCCTCCCGTAAAACCCATCTCCTCCCTGAGACTTCAGCACCTCTGGAGAGATGTAGTCCGGAGTGCCGACGGCTGTGTCGCAATGGACCATCCCCGTCTGCAGCAGCAAAAATAACCGAGTAAGATCCGCAAACTGGGAATCCAACAGCTGACATGTATTTTTGTTGTTTTGATTCTCTGTTTTTTTGTGGAAACGTTCTGATTTTAATTTTTAAGGTAGGAACAACCAACTAAAACAATGAACACAGAACGGTATTTTAAGTCCTATTTTATAATCAGTTCTATTGTTTATGATGTTACATAAATGAACACCAAATATCACTCTCTCATGAATTAGGATATTACACAGGAACAGTAAAACAAAAAAAAAAAAAAAGATTTAATACAGAAAACTTTTTGTTACAGGCTACAAAGACATGGGGGAATCTGCTGAGGGCACCAATGATTTCCTCTCCAAGGAGGACTGGCCACCAAAGGCCACTGCTAAAGAAGCTGGTTGTTGACAATGTTGCGTCCAAGTTGACACGAATATAAAGTTGAGTGGAAGGATAAATTGTGGTAAAAAAAAAAAAAAAAAAAAAGTTACCCTAATAAAAAGGGATAGTCCATGCAGAAGTGGTAAGTGAAAATACTCTATACTAACAATATTCAACAGACTGATATAAAATAAAAAATGTTTCCGAGAAATTGTATTTCTAGGGTTGTATTAATTGTGAGCCAATAATAATCAAAACTGACAGAGGTAAATGTGTGACAAATTTATACGAGTTTACGTTTTACATTGAATTACTGAAATATAGCAAATACTGAACAATTTCCCCATGTATAGAGGTGGCTTGGAATATCATCCATAAATCATCCCATCCTAAAGACAACTGTACAGTGTTTCATCTTTTCTATTCGCAATTCATACCAGAACTGCATGAGACTAATTTGCTTTTTTTATAAATTTTTTTTACTTAAAAATTGTACAAATCAAAACCGAAAACACAGAGGTTAACAATAACCGCCACAGTTAATTTCAGCTTGCATATTTGCAAAACAAAACCCACTTTTGTTTTGATTTCACTGCATAATTATCCTGATGAGCTACAAAGACCTTGGACTGATGCAGCTGGAGGAACAGAAAGTGCCGTCAGTGAACTGCAACGAGCCGACTCACAGAGTCCATCTTCATGCAGGTCCCGAAGTCGGCCAGCTTCAGGTGTCCGTGTTGGTCCAGCAGCATGTTGTCCGGCTTGATGTCGCGGTGGATGAATCCCATGGAGTGGATTGAGTCCAGAGCCATCACCACCTCTGCTGCGTAGAACTTGGCCCATTTCTCGGGAACGTCGTAGGTGCTGGTGAGGTTGACCAGGTCCCCTCCTGGCATGTACTCCATCACCATGTAGAGGTAGTGCTCGTCTTGGAAGGCACAGCACAACTAAACAGGAAAATAGTCAAACAGATCCAGAAGACACTGCTGTAATCAAATCCACAAACATACGAGCTTCAGACATTCTTAGAAGGAAGTGAAAATGTTGAATATTTCACACCTGTACAACCCAGGGACTGTTTGCAAAGGCCATGATGTCTCTCTCTTCCCAGAAGAACGCCGAGTCGGAGCGCTTGATCATCTCGAACTTACTCAGCAGCTTCATGGCGTAAACTTTCCGGGACGGTTTGTGTCGGACCTGAACAATCACAATAAAAAACAATCTGAAACCAGCTGTGTGGCTTTTGTGGGCACCAGTATGAGACGATCTCGGTCATAAAGGATGGCCTTCTCTCTGGACTGCAACTTCCTCAATGTCGGATCTGACAGACAGGTTACCCAGGTTCCTCTTGAATACTGTGAGCAGTAAAGGACCTGTGGAGAGTGTCTGAGCTCCGGAGATCCCCACTGTGGCTGGTGTGTCCTGCATAACATATGATCTCAAAGGAATCGATGTGAGAGTGCAGATGAGCCGTATCATTTTGCTCCAAAAGTTGCTCGTCTCTAAAATTTGTAATGAATTTTTGTCTTTTGATTCCTCATCAGTTACTAAAGTCAAGGCTGACCTTGGGTTCACTTGCACAGTTTGGGGTTCAGTTCTGAGTCCATTTCTCTAAAACTCAACTGTCACAAATCTTTTCCAATTCCACAAACAATTGTGACAAATCTCCATGGCTCAATTTGCAACTTAACCCATATGTTTTACTCTTGTTTCCTACTTGCTCACTTATGGCAGAATTATTTGATATCATTTCAAAGATGCTTTCAATGACCATTATTCATTCCCCACATGTTGCTGTAATTGGACTTCCGCTTTACCTCGAAACAATTAGACATTTTAGCGTTAATTTTCTTACTGGCAAGACGCCGTCTGCTCCTTCGCTGGAAGTCAATTAAAGCTCCTTCCAGCACTCAGTGGCTCAATTACACAAAGACTTTTCTGAAGTTGGAGAACATTCGATATCCACTGAAAGATAGCTGATCGGTTTAATAACATGCGACATCCCTTCCTCCTGACATTCTTCCTCTTCCTTCATTCCCTGCTCCCTCATTGATAAACACTCCACACCCTCTTACTATTTTTTATTCACCAATATGAGTAGCTAAATAACTTTTTATTCAATTACTACACATAAGTAATTATTTGTTATTCATATTTTAATTGCGTACATTGTTTTTTCCACTTGATTACATTTTTGAGGTCCAAAGCAGAAAAGTAAGTGTTATAGGAGGTGGTTTGTTGTGAAATCCTCAGATTATCCAGAGATGAAATGGAAAGTGATGATGGATTAAAGATTCTCTTAAACTTTGGCTTCCTACACCGTCTTCATTTAAATTTGCGTTTTATTTAAATGCTGCAGAATGTAAAGCACGATAGACAGAATTCAAGCTTTTGTCTATTTCAGTAGGTTGACATTTCTAAAGGAATATTAATTAGTGTCATGTAATATTCTAACTCACTAACAAACAGAATTTTGAGTTTTCATTCAATACAAGCCACAATGAAGGCACGTTGTGGTCATCATCACTGCTTAGAGAGCAGTTTATGGTAATATAAAGCTATTCATGTCTTCAGCAGATCAATACTCACCAACTGGACTTCACCAAACGCCCCTCGCCCGATGATTTTAACTTTTTCAAAGTCTTCAGACTTCATCTGAAGATTTCGAAGCTCCCTGATAATGTTCTCATCTGGAATAAAAATTCACAGAAGATAAAGATCAAGTCACTTTATAAAGTTTTGTTCAAGGCTTTTAATTAAGGAATTATAAAACTACTCGCATCTGTTTAAGAAGGTCTCAATGTTTTTGTTCTTTCGTAGTGCCGGGTAGTCCAAATCCAGGACCAGAGCGTTTATCGAATCCTGAAAAACATGGGAAACAATCAGACTGACCATGCAGCAGCTATTAGCAACAAGCAAACAAATATACAGCAAAGGCTGTGAAGTGTGTTTTTAAAACAGCAAGTTTTCTCTCCATTTTCCTCCTCCTGTCAGTTTTTATTAAAACCCTGGTGACTCACCACCGCTGACAGCTAGCAGCTGAGCCGTTACATAACGGAGCAGAACACATGAAGTAACATCATGCTGCAAAGTGCGAATCATGACCAACCACTTCTGTGCTCTAAATGTGTGGGAACCTTCACAACACCTGCAGGAAACCGCATCCTGATCTACAGCTGAGGTGTTGGGTGAAAGAGCCCACCCAACAACAGCCACCACTCACTCAGACTCGGCACTACCAGAATCACCTGCTGCCACTTCTGAGGGTTTATTTTTCTGCTTTCTCGCAGAAACATCTCGGCATCGGTGATAGTCTGAATGAAACTGAGCAGCTTTTCCCTGAGCACACAAACAGAGAAACACCTAACCCAAGGCTGAGACAGAGGAGGTGACTAATTCCTCCGTCTGCCTGCTTCAGTCTGTCTTTGATCAATGAGCACATTGTCTGCTCATAACCTTTTGAAAACAGTCGATTCCATGTGAGATGAGTCCCCTCAACACAGCGAGGACAGATTCCCTATTTACCACACGGCCCAGATAGCTACTGCAAACTAATTAGAAAACATCGAAAAAGCTCTTTAGCAAGAAAGTGCTCTAGTCATTATCGACTCAATCTCTCTGCTTTTTATCCCATTCTAACAAATGAGAAGAAAGAAACTTTCCTATCCAATATGGATGAGAGGGATAGGATACATGAATGAAAAGATGGATGGAGAGGTGGAAATAAAATAAATAAAAAAATAAGCACCTCATTCCCACCGTTTATGGTGTTAGGTCTACGATGCCTTGGACTCTATGAACCATTTAAGAATACATGGGATTATTAATTATTTGAAATTGCAGAACTCTTTGATTAAACTGAAGATGAGCTTTCATTGCGTCTTAAAGCAGATCAATGATCCAAAATATACGACCTAACCTACACAGAATTTCTTCTCCAGACAGCATCGAGCTGAAGATAATTGAGAAATGTTAATGAAGACGACCAATAAGTGTTGCACTGCAGCCAAAACTGATGTTTGAAGTATTTACAGCAGTCCATCAGTAACAATATTGTTTCTGAATATAACCATACACTTTTTAATCCCCCATGCATCGTAGTTTGGTGAGTTTTTATTTAAAACGTAGCTTCAGAAAAATTCAGATTTTTCTCAGTGCTTTAATTTGCTTGCCAGTCACTTTAATTAGCTTTTTATTTTTAAATTAAAAATAAAGGGAGAAAGATCCAAAAAGTATTCCTGATGTTTCTGATTCTGACTGTATTTCAGTAGTTGAAGTACAGAAACTTTGTCAGTAGTTTAAGAAAATAAATGCAGAGACAACCTTTCGCAAAATCACGGAAGGAGAAAAAGTTTATTCTATGCCACAAGGGGAACAAAGGTTTTATTATTTTCATTTTTGGAAAGTAGAATAACTGAAATGTAAAAGTAACTTCAAATCTTCAGGCATGCGCTTTAAATAGACTGGTTAGGTTGTGGTCATTATTGACTGGACAATCAGCAATCAGTAAATCACCACAGGAACTCCTATTTAGAGCAGCTGTAGTTCCAATTTTCAGTGTAAAAGCAGAAAAGCCGCACCAGCTTCAAAATGTTCAGCCTTCAGGTAAAAATCACCGAGACCGACTGAAGTTTAGTTTCTGAAAACAGCTTTTATAACTGAAGCTGGAGCTCGGGTAACATGGGGACGCTATTAAAGAAGAATGATGTTGGTCTCTAATCGGTGCATTGTGTAACAATAAGGAAGCCATCTATCAACCTCTGGCAGCTGTGCATTCCTGAACGGCTGCTGTTTAAGCGTTGAATCAAACTGGACCAAATTTGACTCTGCGCTGTGAATACTCTGGCTTTGTGGCACAACCCTCTTTAAATCTAACTCACTTCCTTTGATATGGTTTCCTCATCTTTCTCACTCCTTATCTCACTCTTCCTGCTCCCTCC